TTTGTTTATACCTCGTACAACGAAAAAAGCAACAGTTTATTAAACAAAAAGCATACTTTTACTGTTCATATGAACACATTAAACTAAGTAACAAAATACCAATAGTCGATACTATGAAATGTATGACGGTTTAGATGTGGTAATATAATAAATTAAAACGGCTTTTACCAATTAAAAATACTCAACCAAAAATAGTTAAAACTAATGCGTTACAATTTTAAATGATAAAAATGAAAATTTATTTTAGTGCACAAGCATTGGACGAACGTATTTCTTAAAAAATCCTTTGTTATCTAAACCTTTTTATTAACAAAATAGATGCCTAATAAAGATGTTGTTTGATATCTTATGTAGGTACTTATCATAAACAAGTTGGAACAAATGCTAAAATACTTTCTACTTCTGTACATATTAAGTTTAGTTTTTGTTTATTTCTGTATAAATTCTGTGTTCTGTACATATTATCTATTATCTAAATTTGTCCCAATTAATAACTATAAAAGTATAAAAAAAAAAATTAAAAAAAGTCTAATATCTTCTAAGATATTGAGTGGACCATAGTAACATATTTTTTTTTTAATCCATAAGTCATATATTGTTAATATTATAATCTAGATGTTGAACTCACTGTTCCTTATTACAAGCTATGCATATTGAGGAGGTCAGAGGTGTCATTTTGTCTCATTAATATCATATTATCTTAAAATGTATGTTATTGACAAGCATAAGATTATCAATAATATTATGTATAAGGACTAGAAGTATCGATTAACTACACAGGTTACTCAATCAGCTAATTTACGTTTCGCTACCATTCATTATCTGTGAATTTATACTTACCAAAAAATGTGAAATATTTGTACATTTTATTCAGCGAACCAATTCTTACATAAATTTACTGTTATTAAAATATCATGTCTTTTTTTTATTATAACAACGTCGATCGTCTAACATAATATAGTAAAAATAATCGATTGACCTCTTACGGAAATCACACAGGTTACAAGAAATAATCTAAATAAACATATATTGTGCAAAAAAACAGATTATACTATTTTTTAGATAACGATTGAGGTCATTCTATTTCAGGTAATCTTATAGCCTATACCTAATATTGTATTGTAAAAAAATGTATTTCTATTAATTTGTTGACAATACATAGACGTGACCAATACGACCTTTTTTTTTTTAAGTCATAATATTTGACATTTTTCAAATTGATTACGCCAATTCAAACTTGTAAGTTATTAATTATTTATGAATATTGTACTCTTCTGTTAATTATAATAATTAGTCGTGAACAATAACATTAACCGCTTAAATCTTAAATACTCTACTTTGAAAATTTACACACCTGTTGCCTATAATAATTTTTCCTTAGTAAATAATAAAAGATTAAAACATTATATTTTAAATAAAATTTCAAATTTATTGTAAAAATCTATATTTTTTATCTACACATAATAAATGAAAATTATGTAAAAATAAATTATCATAAATCATAAATTTATTAAAAAAATAATTACTACTTTCCAATGTTTGGAAATTGTGACATTAATTTTGAGGTTTTCTCGTTGAACGACGAAGATGTATAAGACGATGTCTTGAGCTAGAAAATATAAAAGAATAAAATAGTAAGTAGTAACATGACACATCACATTAGATACGAGAATGACTCGACATAACCTCATCAATCTAAAATTATAAATATTTCTGTATCATCAAAAACATAAATTTTGTGCTTGTGTTATAAATTGTAGTATAGATAATTCAGCGAACTTTGTGGATTGCAATGTACATTTGAGTCATATAATAAAAATATTAAAAAACACTTTTTACTGCGAACAATTTTAAATAACCGAAATTGTATTATTTTTTCTACTTCAATTCACATAGCTTAGTTTGAATACCAGTGGAAATTGTATAAACTTGATAATAACTCATGATTTGGGAAAATTATTCAATAATAATTATTTTAGAAGTTGTATTGAAATGTATGTTATTAAAAAAAAAAAAGTACACTGTTTTCATATCATAAGGCTAAAACGTTTTATTATAGTTTATTTACACACTTTTTAGGGCAAACCTAACAGAATTATAAGTGAATAAGTACAAATATTTACAAAATTAATTATAACAATATGTTATAAACTAAGTACACTATATTAATAAATGATTTACGATCATTTATTAACTTAAACCCAATTAATTGTTGCTAAGTTACGTTCGTAATCATTAAATTATTGGAACATTTTTAATAAATATACTTACGAATATGCTACCAAATAAATCTAGATATAAACATTATTGACAAATTTATGCTCAAGTGCTATTTATATCATATATATATATATATGTTTGTTGTTTTGAAATCAAGTCTTTGTAAATCGAATTTATACCTTATTTGGATACAAGTCAGATTTCACTAAATAAATTTGCAAAGTCATCAACATCCGAGGTTTACATAATATAGTAATTAAATCCAATATAACAAAATATTTATAGGATCGTTGCGCCTTTTTTCGAATGAATAAATCACGTTTTTTATTACTTACCATTTTTCAATTGAGCTGTCGCTCTCCACCTCGACTTGTGGGTTTACCATAACACCGACAATATTCATTGTTCGAAGGCTCGCAAACTCCTCGAATTTCTACGAACCTCTCACCGTACTGGCCACGGCATACACTCCAACAATCATCCGGGTTGCACTTGGCGTTGACTTCGTTGAAAGCGAACGCCAAAACCAAGAAACATACCAAAACCACGTACTTAGAATTCATGGCGACGAAACCGTGTGAGAGACGACTTTACAGTTAATAATTGTATTAGCTTCGAATGACTTCCCTGCCGTACTTACTCCTTTTTACATGATGTAGGGCTCTCCCAAATCATGGATATTTATTACTATACACATAGAAACCAGATGACGTCAGTAACCTCATTAGACGTGCATCTATCGATTTATCTGCCCTGCATACATACACACAAACATCATAACAATAATATTATTATAATATTAAAACTTGTTACGGTATTATTACTTCTGTTATAAGCAAGCATATTTATATGTATTATATTGGAAAATTGTCAGAAATAACGTACACGTGTAAAAAACCTGGTATTATGAATTTATGCTATATGTAAGACCAAGCAATAATAACGATTTTTAAATTGTAAGGCCGTGCCAAAAGGTCAAACAAGATAATAACTTTTAGTACACTCTTAAAAAGAAACTCGGTATCAATGCATTTTTAGTATAATTGTAATGGTGTGTAAATATATTGCAGTATTATGCATAATGTAATTTATTTAAAAAGGATAACAGGATTATAAATTTAATTTTTCATGTAATAATATTTGTAAAAGTATTAAGCAGAAGACGTTTATGATCAATGTCGTCAACTTATTATGCAAAACTCGTTTCGACCACACCCTGGCCAGACACAGTTGCGAATCAAGCCAAAAGGTCAACCACTTCCAAATTACCTTCCCTACCATTAGATCCGGGACTTGGACAACATAAAAGGGAGCCCAATCGCCATTTGCAAGCAGATTCATTTAGCCAATACTCGAAGACGCACGTGGCAGATGTAAAACATTTTATTATTTGTACGCCAATTTTTGCTTAATCTGTTGTTCAATTATAAACTTACTTGGTAACTATTTTCAAAAGTGTCTGTTCTTTATTTTAAACACAACACTTATTTTCCACTTCAACATATTTGTGTTAGTAGCCAAAGGTCACGGCTTACAACACTTCATTCGTTACTGAACTTTTACTCAAAATACAAAATATTCATTTTTTGTTTTGTTTTAGTTGAACATCTTTAGTGAAAACAACACTTTTTTATTTGTGTATAATATACATATTATTTTGTGCTTATATTCGGTATTCATAACGACGGTAAATGGTCAAGGGTGGGAGAATTTCAGTTTTTTTTTTATATTTCTACTACTAATCAATACAATAATACTATTTTTGAGAAAAACTATCTTAGCATACCGTTCCCTTCAAAGTCTACATTGTGGATTATTATTTTTTTTTTTTTTTTTAATCGTTAGGTTTCTCAACTATGAAACGAATTTGTCGACAAGCATTTTAGGTTCCTACAAAAAAGCCAACATTTTATCTTACAATATCAGTGACTGATCAACATTTTTTAGTTTCTTTATTTAAGTATAAAAGAAAATAAATTTAACTAGGAGATAAACATGATCCACTTGAGTGATTCTTATGACACTACAAATTATAACAACTGTGTCATACATATAACATCAAGTATGAAATATTTAGATGTTATTATTGATGAAAATCTAAAAGGAAATAAACATTTAGACTAAATTTTCTCACTTATTCGAGTTTTGTTTACATAATTTAAATCATTAAAATATATTTTGAATATTAATAATCTAAAAATGGTATATTCGTGAAATGAATAAATCTTGTTAACATATATTAGAAATCGTAATGAACGCTTAAATAAAAAATATACTAAATAAAGATAGATGTTACACTACCGTCCAACTTAATAATGATTTTGATGTTCTATAAATTAGCTTTAAAAATATTTTTTTTCCAATTACGAAAAATGGATATCAACAGCTTACAACATACAACATAAACACAATCAGAGTAGATCTAATTAATTATCCCAATTTTAGTTAGATTAAGATTAAAACTTTCTGTGTTCAGAAATGTGTAGAATTGTATTGTAAAAAAAATGCATTTCTATTTATTTGCTGACAACACACAAACGTGGCCAAGACGACCGTGTTTTTCAAGTCATAATATAAGACATTTTCCAAATTGATTACGCCAATTCGAATATATAAGTTATTAATTAGTTATGAATATTGTGCTCTTCTGTTAATTATAAACAATTAATAGCGAATAGTTCTAACAGCTTAAATATTAAATACTCAATTTTGACAATTTACACACCCGTTGACTATAAAAAAATTGGCATTAGTAAATAAAAATATATTAAAACACAACATTTTCAGTTATAATATTTTAAGTTTATTGTAAAAATCTATATTTGTTATCTACACATACATTTATTTAGTTGCCTTTAATGTATAACACATAAAAGCTAACATAAATAGTATTACAAAAGAGTTACTACTTTGCAATGTTTTGAAATTTTGACATTATTTTTGAAGTTTTATCGTTGAACTGATGTAGATGTTTAAGACGATGTCTTGAGCTAAAAAAAAAAAAGTAAGTATAATTTTAACATGACACATCACATTAGATACGAGAATGACTCGACATAATCACATCATTCTAAAATTAAAACTATTTCTATATCTTTGAAAACATAAAGTTTTGTGATTGTGTTATAAATTATAGTATAGATAATTTAGCAAAACTTGTGGATTGCAATGTACAGTTGAGTCATATAATAAAAATATTAAAAATCACTTTTTACTGCGAACAATTTTAAATAACCGGTATTTTAATATTTTTTATGCTCCAATTCACATAGTGTAGTTTGAATACCAGTGGAAATGGCAAAAAAGTTATAATAACTCATGATTTGGTAAAATTATTTAATAATAGTTATTATAGAAGGTGTACTGAAATTTCTGTAATTTTTTTTTAAATAAAATCAAAAAGTAAACTATTTTTTTATCATAAGGCTATAAACATTTAACTTTATTTTATTGACATTTTTAGGGCAAACCTAACAGAATTATATGTAAAGAGGTACAAATATTTACCAAATTAATTATAACAATATGTTAAATACTAAGTACACTACATTAATAAACTATTTACGATCAACAATTAACTTAAACCCAATTAATTGTTGCTTAGTTACGGTCGCAGTCATTAAGTTATTCCTTATTTAAACAGTTAATGAAATGATCATGTTTACAAGTTTCAAAATTTGATAGCGCATTACTTTAACCTTTTCCTTTTATTTATAGCTGTATCCAAAGAGGTACAATAACCTTATAGTATAATAATTAACAATTTTTTAAATTAATAAAAAAAATAGATATATTTAAACTGTTTTGTTTCATATCTAACCTAACCTACTCTTTAAAAGTCATCAACATCCGAAGTTTACATATGGTACTCAAATCCAAATTAACAATTTATATAGATATAAATACATTTTTTTCTTCCAATGAGTATTTATTATTTTAATACGGTAAATAAAATAGCATTTTTTTTAAAAGCCCAGTGAAAAGTTAGTTTTTGCCACAAAAAAAAAATCGCATAAGGTCCAAACCCAATTTTTTTTTTATTAGAAAATTATCCAATTTGTACAGTTAAAAAATTTGTATAATAAGCATATAGTTAAAGCTCGGATGTTAATGACTGCTTTGTTGATGTTGATGGATAAATAATAAACGTTCGAAATAAAGTATTTTTAGTAAAATATTTTTTTTTTTTACTATAAATAATTAAGTAACTAATGACTCAGTACACAAGGAGAGAGACTTAAAAAAATTGGCAGGGTACACAAAAGCTTGAGCGGTGAGAGAACTTGACTACCCTCATTGTGGCCAACGTGTTGAAATGTCAAAATATTCAATTGAATACTTTTATTGGATTCGGATAAACATTTTAGCTGACTTGACATAATTTAAATAACATTTTACTTAGGGTAATTATTTAAAAAGGTATTTTATTTATCAGTATAACATTGAATTATAATTATTTTGATGGTGTTAAAAGAATAATGACGATAAAACAGTAGAAAAAATATGCAAAGCCATCAACATCCAATAATCAAATTCAATATAACAAAATATATATAGGATCGTAGTGCAAATTTTGGAATAAATAAATAGCGTTTTTTAATACTTGTCATTTTTCAATTGATCTTTTCCTCGGGACCCGGGTTAGCATAAAATGTCCGTGGACCTACGGGTTTACCATAACACCGACAATAATCATTGTTGGAAGATTCATTAAAGATTTCACTAAAGAACTATGCAAAGTCATCAACATAATTATCTATTGACATAGTACACAAAGAGAGAGACTTTAAACAATTGGCAGGGTACACAAAAGATTGAGCGGTGAGAGAACTTGACTACCCTCAATGTGGCCAACGTGTTGAAATGTCAAAATATACAATTAAATACTTTTATTGAAGTCGGCTAAACATTTTAGCTGACTTGGCATAATTAAAAGAACATTTTACTTAGGATAATTATTTAAAAAGATATTTTATGTATTAGTATAGCATTGAATTATAATTATTTTGATGGTGCTTTCAAATTTAAAAGAACAATGACGATTAAACAGTAGAAAAAATATGTAAAGTTATCAACATCCGAGGTTTACTTATGGGTAATCAAATCCAATATAACAAAATATATATAGGATCGTAGTGCACTTTTTGGAATAAATAAATAGCGTTTTTTAATACTTACCATTTTTCAATTGAGCTTTGCCTCGGGACCGATTGCAATTGGCAGTCGTGAATCCATGGGTTTACCATAACACCGACAATAGTCATTGTTCGAAGATTCGCATACTCCTCGAGTTTCTGTAAACAACGCACCGTACTGGCCACGGCATAGACCCCAACAATCATCCGGGTTACAATAAGCATTCACGCCGTTGAAAGCGAACGCGAAAACCAAAAAACAAACCAAAACCGCGTACTTAGAATTCATGGCGACGGAACGGTGTGAGAAACGACTTTACAATATTAATACTTGTATTTGCTTCGAATGACTTATTCGGCCGTACCTACGCCTATTTATATTATGTAGGTTTCTCCTGAGTCATGGATATATTTTAATACACACATAGAATCAAGTTGACCTCAGTAACCCACAAGTGCAAACAGTCGGTTTATCTGTCTCGGAGTGCTGACAAATGCCTACGCATTTAATTAATGTTAAAGTGTACCACTACAAAGATCGAAAAAACTAAAAGCTTTTGGTTTTGTACTTATTTACCTCAACCGAACACGCAAATTTTCAATACATTTGAAATGGATTTTTAATTCGCAATAGATAATAGGATAGATTTGATGATGAAACAAATTCTGATATTAAAGTCCATTTGCGTAAAACGGATTTAAGAAATTATAAAAAAATATAATTGCCAATAAATCAATAGCTTTGTTTAAAAAACTATTGTATAAAAAAAATATGCTAAGCCATCAACATCCTAGGCTTACATATGGTAATCAAATTTATTATAACAAAATAGAAAAACAGGATTAATGCGCTCTTTTTGGAATAAAAAAATAGCGTTTTTTATTACTTAGCATTTTTCAATTGAATTTGAGCTCACCAGCGTTAGGAATTTAGACTGATACATCAGTCATTCATTTTACCATAACGCCGACAATAGTCATTGTTCGAAGATTCGCATACTCCTCGAGTTTCTGTGAGTGGCCCACCATACTGGCTACGGCATAGAGCCCAACAATCATCCGGGTTGCAATAAGCGTTCACGCCGTTGACAGCGAACGCCAAAACCAAAAAACATACCTAAACTGCGTACTTAGAAGAATTCATGGTGACAGAACGGTGTAAGAAACGACTTTACAGTTAATAATTGTATTTGATTCGAATGACTAGCCGGCCGGCCTATTTATATGTAGGTTTCTCCCGAGTCATGGATATATTTTAATACACACATAGAAACAAGTTGACCTCAGTAACCTTAGAGGACGTTCAAACATTCAGTTGATCTGTCTAGAAGTGCCCACGCATTTAATTAACGATGAATTGTACAACTCAAAAGATTGATAAAACTGCAAGATTTGTGTTTCATAATTGTTTCATTAATTAACTTAATTAAACACGCAAATGTACAATACTTGCGTAGTTGGATTTTTAAATCGCGATTGCGAATTGATAAAAAAACCTAATGCAAACCTAAAAACCTACACATAAACCTTTATCTATGTAAATATTTTATGTTCCAGTTATAATTTGTCATTGGGCTCGCCCGTTTAATAATAATAAATAAATAAGTATTTGGTTTTGAAACATTTTACGCGTTCGCTAATAAATCCATATCTCTGTTTAAACAATTATTGCACGCGTTTATAAAATCTATCAAGTTTAAAAACAAATGCATTAAGTTAATTCGGAATAATAACTAAAAATTTAACTTTTTAGGACGTGTTCATAGTTTTGTGAATAGGTAGTAACCAACCTTTGGTTGACAATTTATTGTTATTGTACTCTTTTGCCCAAAACATTGTCTATTTTTATACGTACGGTTATACCAAAAGAAAAAATCCTTTAAAATACTAATAAAAAACAATTATCAAACTTTCACTATAGGGACACAAATTTTGTATACAGGGTGTCCCATTTTAAAATACTAATCGATTTTTCTCTAAAAATACTGATCCAATCAATAAGTTGCTTATTAAAGCTTTTAGAGTACAAAGGGGGACGTTATAAAAGTTTAAAAATAGGGTTCAAAATTCAAAATGGCTGACTTACGGTCAAAAACATGTTTTTTTTAAATGGAAACCATGTATTTTTTGTTAACCAAATAAATGTTCTTATCAAAACTAACAACTTTTGTAGGATATTTTTTTCGAAAAACCCATAATTTAAATGGTAAAACCCATAATTTGTAAATTAAGTATCTTTAGCTATTTTTAGTTTTGATATTTTATTTTTATGCATATGGTAACTTTGTCATGAATAATATAGACCTTGGTATAAGTGGTAACCTTGGTATGTGTGATAACCATGGGTTTTGTCTTTGTGATACACAGAACAGAGGATAACGTTAACGATAAAGATAATGATAATGTAATGGTAAGGTTAGGTTAGGTTAGGAAATTATAAACATACCACGGTTACCACACATACCGTGGTTACCACACAAAACAAGGTTTCCACTTATACCAAGTTATCACACATACCATAGTTACCTCAAAAACCAAGATTGCCACACAAACCAAGGTTACCACACACACCAAGGTTACTACACATGACAAGGTTACCATATGCATAAAAATAAAATATCAAAACTAAAAATAGCTAAAGATACTTAATTTACAAATTATGGGTTTAACCATTTAAATTATGAGTTTTTCGAAAAACTTTTCCAACAAAAGTTGTTAGTTTTGATAAGAACATTTGTTTGGTTAGCCAAAAATATATAGTTTCTATTTGAAAAAAACATATTTTTGACCGTAAGTCGGCCATTTTGAATTTTGGACCCTATTTTTTAATTTTTTATAATGTCCTCCTTTGTCTT